TTCAGAGCACCTTTCTCTGATGGAACACCCCTCCCTTTCCAGCTCACATGAATGATTTCAGGCCCCTACATGGGAAAAAACCATTGAGACTTTGAATTTTCTCAATCCCTGGAAAAGCTGAAGAGCAGACAGGCAGGACCAGGCTCTGGCACAGCAATGGCCCCACACCCTGAAACTAGGACTGGTCCTGATGTGGGAGAACGAGGTGGCCTGATCTCCCAGGTACCTTGTTCCCTGGTCCACACATTGGGGTAGGTGAGCTCAGGGTGAGGGAGTGGTTAAGAAGGGAGTTTAGGCCAGAGAGATGTTCTTTTGTCATTTATTCATTCATAGAACAAGTCTTTACCAAACAGCTGCTTTACGCTAGGCACTGTTTCTGGGCACTGGGAACACACTGGTGAACACAGATAGAAATGGTCACTGACCTTGTGGAACTTTCCATCCAATGAAGCTAGGATCATTATTCAAATGACTGGACAAATACATAGCAAATAACTGTGCTAAGTGCTCTGAAGAAGGATATATAGTACCATGGAAGTGTTTAAGTGGGGGACTTGACTGAGTCTAAGGAGTTGAGAATGAGTTTGCAAAGGATACAGACAAAGACCAGTCAGAGCGGAAGGAGAACTGGCAGTGACATCACGGAATCAAAGGAGGTGGTCGACCGTGCTAAGATACAGGGAGCTCATGAGACACCTATGTGCCCTAACTCCTCACCTGCTAGTTTTGAGTACAGGTATGGAAAGGCTCTGGCACTGCACCTGGCTCACAGTTGGTACTCTGCAATGTTAGCTCCCTTCTCCCTTCCCAAGCTAAGCTCCATCTAGGGACCTTAGATTTCTGGAACAAAGTAGCTGCCCGGGCTTAGCCTCCTCTGTCAATGTAGGCTCCCAAACTCCAGCCATCCAGTCCTCAGGGAAAGGCCCTAGGCCTCTCCCTGCCTCTTCTCATTAGTCCCATCACATGGAGCCTTATCATTCCCTAACCTATTTCCTCCTTTGCACTGGTCTTCCATGAAGAGGGGCTGGGTTCTGGGTCTCAGGATACCGTTCTGGGTCTGCTTCTGGAGCTGGGCCTAAGAAGAAAAGAGAGTTGGAATTCTCAGCCCCATCTAGTCCCGCCTGGGGTGAATCTGAGTGTCTTAGGTGGGGAGAGGGAGTAATGGAGAGATGGGGAGGGGGGCTGCCCACCCAAGACGGCGTAGAGCCCAGAGCCTTTTCCATTGCAGACACCCCATCTGTCTGCCACAGAAGGCTCGGGTTGGAAGAGGTGCAAAGAAGGGGGGTATGGCGGGTGAAACTGTACAGTCTGTGAGCTAGCATGATGGCAGCAAAGGTGCTGACCATGGAAAGGGGCAGAGGGTTAGGGTGGGGTGTTGGTAGGGCTGCTGTCTCAGCTGCTGAAAACTAGAGGCCAGAGGTTGTGTCTGAGGTGAGAAAGATGATAGGGACAACAGTACACGACTCTCCCTAGACCGCTTCGTGTTTGATTTTGATTTTTATAGCTCCCTGCCCCAATGATCAGAGGGCAAAGAGTCATACCCCTCTTGCCAACAACCTAATGGAAGACCAGGAGCCATGAGAGCCATGGGAAGGAGTACTCCTAAGCCCAGGGCTGGGCTGGATTTATGATGCCTCCCTCACCCCAGCAATCAGACCTTTTTCAGACCTTAAAATAATATTTTAGTTAAATGTGACAGTCTGCAGCATATTTTCCTTTACATATTACTTTAACTGATCCTGCTAAAGTCTAGTGAGGTAAACATTATTATTATTCCTGGCCTACAGATTAGGCAACAAGGGCTTTAAAAGATCAAGTGGATAATAACCTGGGATCATAGGAGAGTAAGGAGAAGTGACTAAACCCAAGTCTCCTGACTCTGCATATAGGCACTAGGCTGCTGGAGACCTTCCTTGTTCCTCATTTTCTGGTTATTTTACAGCCTCCACTGACAGATCAGGTGTGTGGTTTTCTAGTGGAGAGCTCCTTCCTAGTGACTGAAAAGCTAGGATGTACCCAGACCTTAGGGGACACATACCAGCACAGTCCCCTCTCCTGGATACCAACATCCAGACACTAGGAAACTGGAGATCCAACGAGCCTCTTACAGATAGAAATATGAGAGAGAAGCCGGGCGCGGCGGCTCACACATGTAATCCCAGCACTTTGGGAAGCCGAGGCAGGCAGATCACGAGGTCAGGAGTTCGAGACCAGCCTGACCAACATGATGAAACCTCGTCTCCATGAAAAATACAAAAATTAGCAGGGCGTGGTGGCATGTGGGATTACCCAGCTACTTGGGAGGCAGAAGAATCACTTGAACCCAGGAGGCAAAGGCTGCAGTAAGTTGGATCATGCCATTGCACTCCAGCCTCGGCAAGAAGAGTGAAA